TTCATTGGAGTCCTCTTGAAGTACAAATGTACCATTGAGAAATAAAGTAATTTTACCTATTCCTTCCCAATTTTGTGTGTGCGTGTGACCTAACTGCTCTGGCAAATGCAGTTTATATTGCATATTTATATTGGGCAATGAAATGGTTTACGGCAATGGTGGTGATACTGTTTGTCCTTGTTCCTACAGTTGAATTCCAAAGTGTGATTTCTTTCTTATTGGTATGAAAATGCTACAAACGAGTGGTCAGTGAATTGTTCTGGCCCCAGGTGCCTACTTTCCCAGGGCTTCCTGTGTTCCTAAGTTGAGATGCCGCTTGTCACTTCCCAAGTTAGAAACTAGGCATCGCTCTGTCACCCCGTCCTCTCCCTCCGTCCTGTCCAGCCCAACCACCAGGGAAGTCAGTCCTCTTCTTTCCGTCTCCCTCTCACCAACCCGGGCAGTATTTTCCTACCATTTCTTCTTGGGCCGTTGCGGAAGTCTCTCCGCTTCCACTGTCACCTCTTTCCACTCTTTTCCCCGCAGAGCAGCCGATATGTTTTTTGAAACTTCAAGCTAGTAATGGCTTCCCTCTGCTCCTAGGATAAAGACCAAAATGACTGTCGCACCCGAAACCTCTGTGCACACCGTGCCCCTGTGCCTTCGTCCTCAGCTTCGTCTTGCATCTCCTTCTCCAGTTGGTGCCCCAGCCACCGTGGTCTTCTTCCCAATCTTGACCGCACCGCCGTCCTCCTCACCCTGGCCCTGAGCTACAGCCCGTGCTGCTGCTCCTCCCGGACACACAGACTCGCTTCCTTCTTCTCCACCCAGCCAACTCCTACTTTCTTCCAGCTTCGGCCCAGAGCTCTCGACCTAATCCGATTCTGACACAGACTTCCATGACTCCGTCCTCTCCCTTGTAGCATTCATGACACGCATGTTCACTCGGTTAATATCAGCTTTTCCAGACAGGGAAGAAACCAAAGAGGTGGATTCTGCTGTATCCCCCACACTTAGAGCAAGGCGTGACACGTAGGGAGAAATCAATATTTGGGGGGGGGTTGTTGTTTGTTTTTTTATTTTGTTTTGGGTACCGGGGATTGAACTTGGGTCCTTGCACTTGCAAGGCAGGCAGGGAAGAAATCAATTTTTATTGAATAAACTAATTTTCTGCCCACAGAGAGCTAATGCATAAACAGCTTGAGAACCCGCTTCGTCTGACATGAAGATAGTGTGACTGTTAGGACCACATTTTATAGATGGGCACCCCATCCCAAGCCACCAGTAATCTCAGGGACTGTTGTAAGACCCTGAGTATTCTCTTCTATGCAGCTCTAATCAATTTTCCATGCAGTCAGGAAAACATTTAAAAAATGTAAATCACTTTTCTACTTAAACGTCTTCAATGACTTCTTGGTTGCTGTCAAATAGAATTCAAATTCTCATGTGTGCTGCACAGTCCTGGAGAGTCTGGCTGCTCTGCACCTCCCATCCCAGCTTGTCCCACAGCCCTCTGAGGGTGCCAGTCCCTTTCTGTCCTCCAGATACGCCAAGCTCTCTTGCAGCTTGGGGGCTGCACTAGCTGTCTCCTTTACCTGCAGTGCTTCTCTGGAAATCTTTGAACATCTAAGATAGCCAGTTCTCCTCCTTCGTGATTTGAGCCAAATGTCATGTTCTCAGAACTTTCTTTCCTGAAAGTAAACTTGACATAAACTAGATTTGTACCAGTTCCCTCTTTCTTACACATCACCTCACCCAGTCTTTCACAGTGCTTATTACAATCTGAAATTCTCCTTTGTCATTGGTCTCCACCAAGAATGGAACCCCTGTGTTGTTCACCTTGTCTTCAGAGCCTAGCAGGTGCATGACATATAGGAGACTTACTGTAAATACCTGTGCAGATGAGTAAAATACTATCCCAGATCAATGACTAAAGTAGAACATCTTTGTAAGGTTGAGGTCTTCTTCCTTTCTTCCAGCAGGTGGCGCCAAAGCCACACCTGGTCCTAAGAGGCTGTTGGCTTGACTGAGAGCCAGGACCTCTGAAGAAAACCTGACCAACAGGGTCTGCTGTGGTAATGCTGGGTCCAAGCACAAGGGAACTTAAGATGCATTTCTCTCGGAGGATGAGAGCCTGGAATAACCAGTGACCCAAGGCATTTCTGGGATCCCAAATTGCTTTCCCTCCTCCCCACCTATCCTCAAGTTGTCCCCCAAGAACTCGGCAGGGGCCTCCCACAGGAAAGCAATGAAACTGGAGAGAGGACAGGGCTTTTCTTTTGCTTTTACTCTTTTTCCTTTTTTTTTAATGTAGCTACATTTATTGAAGATCACAGGATGGTAGCAGGAACAGAGAGAGGGAAAGGATGAAGGGAAAAAAGGTGAAGGGAAAAGTGGACTCGAGGGTGAAAGGTGAAAGGGACTCCAGTGCAAAGCTGGGGAAAAGACTCTTTTTTTTTTTTAACAAGATCTAAGTAGCCCAGCCCAGCCTTAAGTTTTTGATCCTTCTGCCTTGACCTCCTGAGTACTGTACCAGGATCTACAAGTGTGTGCCCAACAAGGCAAGGGTTTCCCATCTTAATCCTCATAGAGTATTTGAGGGAAGCGGACAGACAGAAGCATCCTACTGGGTCAGTAGGAATGGGGTTTGTTTCTTAACCAGATCCCTTTCTGATCATTGCTCACATTCATCCAGCCCCACCTGCCAGCCTCACCCTGCCATGCTGGCCCTGGGCTCCATGCAGGACACAGTGATGAGGGGTATGGACTCTCCGAGGGGAAGAGGGCCAGGAACCGCTCAGAGAGGCTTGCTGGAGCCCAGACATGTTGGACGAGTACCCGCAGGTGCAGCTGAGGCAGATAGCTATTCCGTGGCTAGGCAGGCGCCCTGCAAAAAAGGCTGCGTCTTGGGCTGGGGATTGAACTCAGTGGCACCTTGGCTGTTTTGCAAGTACAAGGTCCTGAGTTTGACCCCTGGTACAAAAAGAGAAAAGGTGGGGGGTGGCTGCATCTGGATCTGGGGCTGGGGAGGTCAGCAGGAGCCTTGGACTCCTTCCTAACAGCAATGAAACTCTCAGAAAAGTTTCTGCACAGGAGAGCTACTCAGATATCTTGGATGGTTTGCAGAGGCAATGTGAGGAGATCCAATCAAAGACAAAGAGATCAGTCAGGGTGCTGGTGCGATCATCCAGGCAAGAAGAGAGAAAAACCTGAGAAGTAATTATAGGAAAGGGGAAAAAACAAGTTTGTGTGGTTTAGAAAAATGCATTTTTTTTCGGTTATTAAGGATTGGACCCATGATCTCATGCATCCTAGGCAAGCATTCTACCACAGAGCTAAACCCTCAGCCCTAAAATATTTTTTAAAGGACAGGACTTGGTGGTTATAGATCAGGCTGGAGGGAGTGCTCAGAGTGCCTCAGCTCTCTAGCTGCCCAGGTCAACCCAGCTTCTGCCTTGCAGAGACAGCTTCTGACCAGAGGTGGTAGCTACAAACGCAGACATACTAGCTTGGTGGGAGCCAAACTACTGGTTCCCTTAGCATCCCAAGAGTCGTGGTAAAGAGCTCAGGCCCTAGGGCCAAACAGCTTGGATTCATGTATCCAGTTCTCCATTGCCTGGTAACCTCCGGCAGGTTGCTTCATTTCCCCATGCTTGGGTTCCCTCCTCTGTAAAATGAGTTCAACAGTACCTGCCACACAGGGAAGTTCTGGAGGCTAAGTGGGTTAGTGATTAGACACCTGCAACAGTGCCTGTTGGTAACACTTCGTGGCTTCAATAGAAGTGACCTGGCACCCCCTCCCACCTAAAATGGAGCCTCACATCCAAGGTAAAACTCAAGCCTGAAGCCAGGTGTGGTGGCACATGTCTGTAATCGCAGCACTCAGAAGGCTGAGGTGGGAGGATTGCCATGAATTCTATGTCAGCTTGGGTTGCATATTGGGTTCAAGGCCAGCCTCAACTACAAAAAGCAAAACAAAACCTGAATATTTGTTACACTTCCTCTCTGGATTTTATTGTCTATAAAAAAAGAAGTCCAGCTAGTTGCTCCTGATCCTCCCGGATCTACTTTCCTGTCACTTTGGAGGCTGGCCAAGAGACCCAGTGGTATGTGGGGTGATCCTGCCAGCTAATGAGAGCCCACTGTTAAGTGTTCAGGGATTTGGCAAGATGGTACAATCGTGAGTGACTTGAATTGGGCCACAGTGGGAGTTATTTGTACCACAGAAAACGGGGCGAGTGACACTAGTCCTTTCCCAGCTGGTTTCCACAGAGGTGGGCTTCTTCCTCTCTGACACCCAGCCAGGTACATTAACCCCCTTCAACATTGGCAGCAACAGTTGTGGACAGAGAATGCCACGTCTCCGGGGACACCAGGTTCCCGGTCACAGTCACGCCTTACAGGCTTAGGCAGAGCCTAAGTGTCTGCCCGTCAGTGGCTTAGGGAGCAGGAGTCTCACAGAGCCAGGTTGGAGTTCCAATCAGATCATTTTTGTCTGGTTTTTTTTTTTTTGGTACCGGGGATCGAACTCGGGTCCTTGCGCTTGAAAGGCAGCAAGGCAGGCACTGGAACCACTAAGCTAAATCTCCAGCCCTTTGTCAGTTTTTTTTTTAAGACAGGGTCTCACTATGTATCCCGGACTGGCCTCCAACTCTTGGTGATCCTCTTGCCTCAGCTTCCTGAGTGTTGGGATTAGCGGTGTGCACCACTCTGCCAGACTGAGTTAGATCACTCTTGGCTATGTGACTTTAGCCGGGTCATTCTCTGACTAGAGCTCAGTTTTCTAATTTTTAAAAGAGGGGCAGTCTGATCTGGCACAGTGGTTTCAAGGGCTAAATGAGCATTTATACGAAGAGCACATGCAGCTTCTGCACAGTGCCTGGTACAGAGCAGGGCCTCGGTAAATGTTAGCTGAGGCTGTAATCACTTCTGTCGCCCCACCCAGTGGCACCTGTGGCAGAGTGTGCCCTCTCACTGTCTGAGTCTTGGCACCAAAGGGCTTGGTGAGGGGTTGAGGACACAGGCAGAAACAGGCATTTTCCAGCTTTTATGAAAATTAATAACATTAATAGGTCACAGACATATACATACACACATCGCTATGTACACGGTCATTAAGTTAATTAGTCTCTGTATAAAAAGTGTCTACATTAGTGTTCTGGGCTGCGCCCGATGGGTCCTTGGCATATTCACAGTAGCAAGTCCAGGGCTTGGCCCTGTGGGTGGGCAGAGGGGAGGCAGGGGGCTGCAGGATGGGCAGCCCCCCGTGAACACAGGAGTGTCCCGGGCCGCACACTCTCCGGTCTTTGGTCCCTGTCTTGGCACCTAGAGAGCAGCTGTTCGGCAAGTAGGGAAAGAGGTGCCGGTCCCTGTGTGGGCTGGTGACACAGGCCTTCTGTGTGGCTGCAGGAGACGCAGGGGGCCCTAGAGGATACTGGCCAGCTCTGTGGAGTCTGTGTCAGAGCAGCCTGAGCTGCTGGCTTCATCCCTGCAAGAGCCAGACAGAATGATTGAATGTAAGGGCCAGGAGAAGCAGACTTGGCCCCGCCCTACTGCCGCCCTCCTCCTCCTCAGGGATCTGGGCCTGTTGGACTCTGCTGAACTACAGGACCATCGGCTTTTTTTTTTTTTTCTCCTGGTACCGGGGATTGAATTCTCAGGACCTTGCACTTGCACTTGCAGGGCAGGCAGGGCTCCACTGAGCCAAATTCCCAGGAACCTTGGCTCACTTCCACTTTTGGTCCAGAAACTGCCAGTTTCTGTTGGTTGTTCCTGCTGAACACAGGACACCACAAACCCTAGAGGTCCACTCTGGCACAAGCTGGCACGACTCACCCCACCCCGCCCTAAGGTCACGGGCCACACCCAAGCTCCCTCCCCAAAGCCAGCTTGGCTATGGCAAAGGGCACAGGCTGCAGTCAGAGTCCTGGGCAGGGCTCAAAGCCCAGTCCTGCTCCTTATCCGCAGGGCTGGTCACTGTTCTGAGATAAACCTGTTTCTTCACTCGCAGAATGGGAATCATAAGAATCTGAGACATGCTGGGTTGCCGGAGGGCCACATGTGGGAAATCATAAACATCTACTCCCAAGACACACGAGCCCCTGGAGGGCAGGGATTTTTGTTTTGTTCACTTGTGCAAGGGAGGCTGTAGGGGGGACCAGCAAGCATCTGTTAAGTGAATGAATGGAGCCCTTTGGAGCCAGACCCGGCAGCAAGCTCAGGGTGGAGCTGCAGGAGATAAAAGACCGGACTCGGCCCTGGCAGGCACCAGAGGCTGCTGAGCCTGGGCACCAGCCCTCCTGTGCTCACCGAAGAGCCTGCAGGGCCTTCTTGTTCTGTCGCCGCTTCTCCTCGTCAATAGGGTATAGCTTGAAGAGCAGCAGGCCCAGCAGGATGAGGATGATGGGAGTCATGGTCACCAGCATCTTCAGTGTAAACTTGACACGAGTTGGCTGGGAGCAGCCCCGCGACCGGTACCCGGCAAAGCTGTGAGGACCCGGCCAGGAAGGAAGAGGTGAGGACGGGCCACCCAGGTCCCTTCCTTGCCCTGCACTGCCCCAGAACCTGCCCCACTCACTCGAGACTGAGGGTGGAAATACCCAGCGAGACTCCCGAGGCGAACTTGGTGAAGAAGACGTAGAAGGAGAAGAAGATGGGCTCAGTGCCATGGGAGTGGGGCTGCTTCAGGTGGAAGTCATCGATGACGTCGGGCAGCATGGACCTGTGCCGAGTGGGACGTGGCGTCATGAGGACTCCCAGCCCCGCCCAGCCACCGGGCATCTTGGTGTCGGTGAGAAGGGGTAGCCTTTGGGGAGTCGGAGGCACCGTACGGTAAATAAGAAAAGAAGGCCCATTCCTATAAGACGAAGGGGCCCCAGTCCGAGCGCTCAGCTCAGCAAGCATCACACGGGCCACAGTTTAGCCCCACCTCTCCCAGCGACAAGGTACTCATAGCCTGTACGCCTCTACGGGCAGATCCCCTCTGCCCTCAACTTGAACCTGTAGAGAGGTCCACAGGAGTCCCCAAGGAGCTTTGGAGCTGGAGGGTAGAAGGCTGGGACCGCGCTCAGTGAGCCTGGATGTACTCACCAGGGTAGTAAGAAAGCTGCCGCCACGCTGATACCAGCTGCTATGGCCACCACGTATGTGACGATTAGGTTACTCTCCATGAGGGCCACCAACATGAGAAATGGCAGCGCTGACTAGACAAGAGGTGTGGAAGCGTCAGTCGGCTGGGAGGCTCCCACCAGAAACCCCTACCTCCACGCCGGAGCCGCCCCGAGCCCACTCACTGAGATGCCAATGTACACAGCCGTCTTCTTGCCAAAGCGGGTCAGGAACCACTGCCAGATGGGAATGGTGAATGTGGCTGAGAGCTGTGATGGACAGAGGTGCAAGAGGTGGGCTGGAGCCACGGAAGCCTTCCTGGCCTTCCCAGGACCCCAAGGGTGTTCCCAGCCCTGGCCAAGGGCAGCCAGATGGCATCATCTGGGCAGGGAGGAAGCCAACAGGCACATTTGTGACCCTTCTGCCTTCTCATAACTCAAAGCACAAGGCCACAAAGCACTTGGCATCCACTTTGCTTTTGCTGTGCTCTCTAACATCCACCCCCAAGTCCTCCTTCTTCACCTTCTTTCCCTTTTGTGTGTGTATGGTACCAGGGATTGGACCCAGGGCCTTTGCACTGGCTCTATCACCAGCCCTTTGTTATTTTTTGAGACAAGTTCTCACTAAGTTCCTAAGTTGCCCGTGCTGGGTTTAAACTTATTAGATCCACCTCACAGCCTGTGCCACAGCAGCCCACCCACACTCACCATGATGGCCAGGAGTAGATTCTGGAACTCATTGCGGAAGCCCAAGGTGTAGGTGCAAAACAGGGCAAAGTTCCCTTCCACCAGCTGGGGGATGCCGCAGGCAGGGGAAGAAAGGAGGTAGAGTTGGGGCTGTGCCTCCCCAAGACGCCTCCCACGATGCTCCAGAGACCTCCGCCCCCACTTGTCCTGCTGCCTTTCACCCCAAGCCCTCTCCAGCCCCATCCCTCCAGCCCCATCATCTCGGGCCCCACTCACCATGAAAGCCAGGGAGGTAAAGAGGAAGGCAGCAATGAGCTTGATGTACGGGCCATGGCTCATGACCAGACGAAGACCCCGGAAGAAGGGAACCGGCTCAGCCTGCTGGGCCTCATAGGGCTCTGGGGAACAGAGGTGACAGTGAGGAGGGAGCAGAGGGCCAGGCAGAGAGACACAGCCCCTTTGTGCTGGGGCCCCTCTCACCTCTCCGCTCCCGCACACCCAGGGTCAGGATGACAGCACAGATGACGTAGATGGAGGATATGACCCCCGCTGCCAGCAGGTACGCATTTTGCTGTAAAGGAGGTGAAGATGACAGAGAGAGTCAGTCTGGCCTCATCCCAGCAGCCCCATGCAACCATCTCCAGCCAGTCTGTTCTCTGGGGGACTCACTGTGTCCATCTGGGAAACTAGAGAGTCATCCTGGCCCTGCTGTTGCTTCCCAAGGCTGGGTAAGGTTCAGATGTACAAAATGTTAGAAGTCAGGAGCCTAAGAGTGCACCGTTCAAGTCTCCCCAAGTCGTTGCAACTTACTAGCTATATGACCCTGGAAAATGACTCGATCTCTCTAGGCTTCGGTTTCCTGGTAGGTAAAGTGGGCACGGCAGGCACATTAGTGGCTGTGTATACCAAATGCCCAACAGTTGAGGAACACGAGCTCTTCTTACTATTTTCAGGATGACTCTAAGGCACTCCACTGTTCCCTTCTCCCCGCATCCATCCCCGGCCCCGGAGGGGTCTCACCGTTTGTCTGAGTGAAGAGATGCTGTGTGTGCGATTGCCGCTTTCTGAGGCCAGTATGGAGTCACTGGGGTCCTGGACACAGGGTGAATTCGCCTGGCCTACGATTTGTCCCTGGATTGCTGTGCCGAGCACCGTGCCCAGCACCTCCACAGTCATCCCTGGGCAGTGAAAAGGAGGTCTTTTAGGGGAGCCCACAGCTTAGGGCCCAGGGAGGAAGTCCAGATAGCGCTCTAGCTCCAGGTTTGCTGGGTGGAAGAGGCAGGTGTCACCTTGGCCAATACTCATGGCCTCTCTCGGTGTGACCTCAAGTTAGTCTTTGCATCACCTTAGGGCTCACCTGAGCAACAAGGGGACCGGGTTATTGTTGAGAGAGTCTCATGAACTAGAGCTCAGTGAAGGAGCAGCTCCTGAGTATACACGAGGCCCTGGGTTCAAACCCCAGCACCCCACACCCACACCCACACACACGAAGGTTTCACACCCACAGCTCAGAGCAGAGCAAGGAGCTGGGCCAGCAAGGGACAGGGAGTGGCAGGAGCACGTGCAACCATGGGCGGGGAGACTTACGATAGGCAGTGGCGGAGTCCCGCTCACTCTGCTCGGTGCTGATGAACATGGTGAGAGCCGAGTAGGGAACGTGGAAGCACTGGCACGGAAGAGAGGCCCTTGGCCAGTTCAGACAGTGGACAAACACCAGAACCCCAGGGACTTCCCCTACCCCTACCCTGGCCCAAAGACTCTGGGAAGAGGGTCCCACACTCACCGTGACCAGTGTCTCAAAGAGGCAATAGAAAACCAGGTACCAAAGGGCCTGGCCCCGCGAGAAGTCGGGCACGAACCAGATGAGGAAGTAGGCGACCACGGCCAGGGGCGTGGAGAAGATGATCCTGAAAGAAGGTGAGGTCTGAGTGGAGGGCAGAACCCCCAGAGCCCAGCCAAGCCAGAGAACCAGCTCTGCTCTCCAGGGTTCCCACCGGAAGGAAGTTCCTCCTGCCGAATCCACCCACCCCAAAGCCTCTGGGAAGAGGCTGATGGCCAAGTTCAGAAAGACACACTGGGAAGTGGACCCTGGACTAAAATCCTGAGTGTGGAGTATGAGAAGGTCAGACCTGGAGTCTCATCCACATGTCCCCAGGAGCAGGGCCTTCTTCTGGGCTAGGGGACCTGAGAGTAGAGGACAAGACCTAAGGGCAGGCAAGCAGGGAGAAGGGGCACCTGGAACCTGTGTGTTTTCACCGTTCACACGCACCAGAGGGGAGGGGTGGGGAAGGCCAACGCGAGGCAAAGGAAGACGGAGGTGTCAGGTGGGAGGACCGGCCGAGTGATGTAGCACTGAGGGGGCAAAGGTCTGCCACGCACAGGTGAGTCCTGCTCGTCACGTGGGGCAGACCTCAGACTGCACCGGCCCCTCGGCACCAGCAGAGGGTGAAGGTTAAGAGATCCAAGTCTGATTCTCCCAACTAACTATAAAAACTTAGGCTTGGACAAGTTAACTCACTGCCTCCTGCATAAAATCAGAATGAAAAATAGCATATGCCTTATATTCAACATTTGCTCAAATATGTATTACATCTGCATTGTGCGCCGGGTGCTATTCTAATTGCTTAGGATATATCGGTGAACACAAAGACAAAAAGCAAGAGTGGGGGAGAAAAAGAACAAAAAACACTGTCCTTGCAGAATGCACATTCTAGTTGGTGAATAGAAAAAAACAAACATAGTTTAAGATAATATATATTCAGCTTCAAGAAGGAATGAACTTCTGACACAAGCTACAACAGGGATGAACCTTGAAGACATTAGGCTGAGTGAGATGAGCCAGGCACAAAATAACAAATATCGTACAGCTCGACTTGGACGAAGTGAGCGAACCTGAGCAGTTAACTTCAGAGAGATGGAGGGTAGGAAGGTGGTTCTGAGGGGCCAGAGGAGGAGGAAATGAGGATCACCCATCAACGGATAGAGCACTTCCATTTGGAAGGTGACAAAGTACTGGAGGTGGAAGCAGTACTGGTCATGTGAATATGCAAATGTACTTGATGTCAGTGAAAAAGCCCTTAAAATGGCTCGAAATCTTAAATGGGAACAGCATATATATTGTGCCCATTTTGAAAAAGGTTATGTACATGTTAGAAAGGAATAAGTGCTGTGGAGACAAGAAATAAAGCAGGTGACAGAGAATTAGAAATGAAAAGCAAAGCTGGGCGTGGTGGCGCACGCCTGTAATCCCAGCACTCGGGAGGCTGAGGCAGGAGGATCGCTGGGAGTTCCATAGTGAGTTCCAGGTCAGTCTATCGCTGGGAGTTCCATAGTGAGTTCCAGGTCAGTCTCAACTACACAGTGAGACCCTGTCTCAAAAAAATAAAAAGAAGTAAAAAGCAGTAGGCCAGGGATGTAGTTCCTGTGGCACCACTCCTTCTTGGCAAGCTCAAGGTCCTGAGTTCAGTGCCTGGATACCGGGAAAAAAAGAAGCAAAAATTGGAGCCCGAGAAGGCCTTGCTGGGAAGACCTGAGAGGCAGAAGGAGGCAGCCTCTTGGATGCCTGAGGCGAGTGTTGGCAGGAAGGGGAGTACTCAGGGCAAAGGTCCTCAAGCAGGAACCTGGTAGGGCTGAGGAATAGCAAGAAGGCCAGTGGAGCTGCAGGGTCCTGTGCAAGGGAGATGGCATTAGGAGATAAACTTGGAGAGGAGTAGGGTACCTCAGGCTCCCACAAGGACCTTGGCTCTACTCATAGGGCTGAAGTAGTCTTAAGACTTCAATAAGTCAATATGAAAATGTAGACAGGTGCTTGGGACCCTGTTTGCAGTGACTCTACGAGGAAAGTTCAGCGGGACAGCCAGGCGGCAGAAAGTAGTACAGGCCATGGCCTGGGGCTGCAGAGGGCCCAGGGATCGGAATCAGACCTCAGGTCCAGCCTGCTTCTCCCCGTGTGACCTTGCTGATCACCTGCCTCACAGGGTGGCCTCGGGGACACTGGGGAAAGCGCATCATGTCAAAGCCTCTGATTTGAAGGAGTGGTTTATAAGAGGGGACTGTTCTGAAACCTGAAGAAGAGGCCCCAGGCTCTTCCTATTCTGAAAGGAAGAGGGATGTGAAGAGCGGCCCAGGCCCTCACTGTGGTGCAGACAGGGAAGCCATGTGCACAGCAGCCCTGTGGCCTGTGAGCATCAGGTGCAGGCTCAGACATGTACAAAGGTACCTGCTAAGGCAGAAAGCAGCCCGGAGGCCCCCAGCACCTTCCCCAAACTGGCTACCACACCTGCCCAGCAGGAGCCCTGAGATCCTCCCTGCTGGCCTCTCCGCCTCCTCCACCCTCCCCAAACCACGTGTCTCTTCAGAGACAAGGGCTCGTCAGCCTTCCTCAAACACTCCATCCTCTGCTCTAGGCAGCAGAGCAGTGCTGCCCAGGAACCCAGTGTGACTGCTGCATGGGCCGGCCCAGCAGCTGCTCCCATTGGCTGGGCCTCATGAGGAGATGTGGCAGCAGGGCGCCGCCCTCCACCAGCTGCCAGGGACGTGGGCACAGGGCCAAGGCTCACGAGCTGGCACGCTGGGAGTCCTGAGCAGCCTGCCCAGGTGAGGTAGGCGGTCCTACCCTTGGCCCTGAAGCAGGGATCAAAGGCTCCAACCTGGGCCTTTGCCAGGGCCTGGCAGAATTGTAGTGAGTGGGGGGCCTCGTGGGAAAGGAAGCTGTGGGGGCGTGGGGGCTGCTGGAAGAGCTTTGAAGGCCGGAGACCAGGTATGGGCGCCCCGGGGGCAGGAAGGCGCCCACTTGAGCTTGGATGGGCTAGAGATGAAAGGGGCATCCTCCCCACCCCTGAAGCAGGATGTCCTGGAGGGAACCAGAGCCCGGCCTGGTCTGTCTCCCTCCTGTCTGATCTATGGGAACTGCCTGCCCCCATCTGGCCCTGCAGCCTGCCTGAAGCTGAATGGGGCAGGCTTTGTACCGAGGGAAAAAGTTCACATCATCCAAGGCCCCAGAGCTTATGGGTCTGCTACACCATTCCTGGTATTCTGTCTAACCCCGGCCCCACCAGGAGCCACACAGGAGTGCAGATCATGTATCACTTAACAGGTACCATGCCAGTGGGACATGCTTATAATCCCAGCACTCAGGAGACTGAGGCCATGAGTTCAAGGACAGCCTTGAACTACACAATGGGTTCGAGGCCTGGAATATATAGCGAGACCCTGTCTCAATAACAATAATAATAATAATAAGTGCCAGGCACTGCTGGGCATCATGGCACATGCCTATAGTCCCAGCACTTGGAAGGCTGAGGCAGGAGAGTCACCATGAGTTCAAGGCCAGCCTGGGCTACCCAGAAAGTTCAAGGTCAGCCTGAACCCTAAAGAAAGACTCTGTCTCAAAAAATGATGCCAGGCACGGTCCTGAGTATTATACATATTCACAACCATTTAATCCTCACCACAACCCTGTGAGAAGGTCCTTATTCCCATTTTACAGAGGAAGAAACTTGAGGCTCAGAGATGTTAAGTGACTTGCTCAAGGTTGCACAGCTGTAGACAGTGAGGCTGGGATTCCAACCCAGGCACGCTGATTCTGAGTACAACCTCGCAATTGCTTTGAACTGCTCCTCTGCCACTCTGCTAGTGACTGAGTAAGAGAAGAAAGTACTGATTCGGGAGCAGTGGGACCTGGGCTGAGGGAAGCTGACCAGCCTAGCACTTCGGCCAGCTTGGGAATGACTTGGCTAGGTGTCCCAGTGTGTGTGCAAGCTGGGCAGCCGACGCCTCAGATGAAGTCCCAACATCCTTGGGCTTTTTACATTATTCCTTCTTTTCACCCCCCACCCCCACCTGGGACAAGAGACGGGAGGACCAAGGGGCAGATGTGCTAGGAGTCTTCTACTCACCAGGGCATGAGGCGACCCAGGCGGGTCCAAGAGGATTTGCTAATGCAGAAGCCCACCAGAGGGTCTGTGAAGGCGTCCCAGGCTCGGCCCACAAACAGGATGATGGAGGCAGAGAAAGGGTCCACCTGGAACAGGGAGGAGGCAGAAGACAATTCCCTTTACCTCATTCCTCACTGGTATCAAGAGCAGGGGTTCAGCCAGGCCCTTGAGGCCCTGTGCTGCTCCCACCTGGGCCCTGCACATCCTCACTTGTCCTGTTGATAATGATAACAGCAGGGCTGGACATGTAGTTCAGTGCTGGCCTAACACGTGTGAGGCCCTGGGGTCAATGCGTGGGACCACAATAAGACAATAGGTTTTGTGTGTATGTATACTGGGGATTGAACCCAGGGCCTTCACACTAAGCTACAGCTCCAGCCCTTTTACATTTATTTTTTATTTTGATAGGGTCTTGCTAAGTTGCCCAGGCTGGGCTCAAAACTTGTAATCCTTCTGACTCAGCCTCCCAAAGTGCTGGGATTACAGGCATGTGCCACTATACCTGGCATGACAGTGGAATTTTTTGATAACAGTAGCACTGTATGCCTTTCCCAGATCTATGTCCTACCCTCTTTGCTGTCTTTGCAAACACTCCATGAGATAGAATGAATCTAGAACCATTCCCTTCCCAGTTGGGCACAGTGGTACACACTCAGGAGGCTGAGGCAGGAGGATCACCGCAAGTTCTAGGCCAGCCTGGGCTACGTAGCTGGGCTACGTAGTGAGGTCAAAGCCAGCCTGAACTATGAGCCCTGGTCTCAAAAAATAATATATAAAGAGAATCATTTCTTTCCCTCCTCACAGGTCTGAGCCCCTGGCCACCTGACATCAGAACTAGCATTCACTGAGTAGCCACAGTGGGCCTCAGTTTCCTCATTTGTGTAATGGGAGTTGTGCTCACTATCTTACAGGGTTTAACTCTATCTTGGATTCTTGGATATGGGAGTCTACAGATCTTTTTTTTAGACAAAGTCTTATATGTAGCCCAGGCAGGGCTTGAACTTTCAATTCTCTTGCCTTGGCCTCCCAAATGCTGGAATTACAGGTATGAACCACCAGCCCCACTGTAGAAGTGGCCTGTGACTACCTGCTCAGACTAAAGCCCTCTCCTTCCAAATACTCTAAATCCCGATGCTCTGGGTCCCTCCTCATCCAGCACAGGCCTGCTACTGCCATTGCTCTGGGAAGCTCACAGCCTTCCCTATGCCATCGTCTCCCCACACTGACACCCCTACACCCCAGCTGTAACACTACAATAGCTTTAGACTTCTACCACAGCTTCCTCCCATTTGTGACTCAGGGACTAGCCCGTGGGAATTACTCAAAATCTGGTGGCTGAATGGGGTTATTTGTCCTTTCTGGGGCTCAGCATTCCCCACCTGTAAATGGATATAACTAAGGTGCCCTGAATGCCATGTCAGACACTACATAGAAGTCAGCCAGTGCGGGAGGCCCGGTAGCCATGCTATTCAGCATCCTACTTACCTACCCGGACAGGGCAAATTCTCGGGATGCCAGGCTGCCGGCCAAGGCTTCTCAAAGCACAGTGTAATGTTGCTTCACCCTAAGTGTTCCTCCCCGTTGAAGATCATACATCCTAGGGTGCTCTAACTTAGCCCAACACTTGAAGGCCCCTCTGCCCACCGACAGGCCTCTGCTCCTCACATGAAGGTAGGGTACGCTTCCTTCACAAGCCTGACAATGTCTGCTAAGCCAGCTGTCTTCCAGCCAGGGACATGCTGTGCCAGTCTCTTCCAAGAACAGCGTCACCAGTAGGTCTCATTTTCCTTCACACTCCTGCCTACCCCTCCTGGCTCTGTTGCTCCTGCCAGGCACAGAGGAACTGCCGTGTAAGACTGGATATTTCCTAAAGTCATCTTATTCCTCCTCACCTACTCTGCCGTGATTCTGAGAGAAAGTAAAACAGACTTTTCTGTCCCACTGACAAATAGGTGAAACTGAGTAAACATACCCAGGGTACCTAGGCTTTTGTACTTCGGGATACCAGAGGATCCCTGGAAGACTCAGGCCACTCACCAGAGCTACATCCAACAGGTAGATCTGCAGGAAGAAGCCTAGGGCACAGCCTGTCACCTGGTAGGGGGCCCCTCCAACTGCATAGCAAAGCTTGTTGCAAACTGACAACTGCTGTTTCTTCTTTGGTTCCTTCCGGAAAAAAGAAAGAAAGAAAAGAAAAGAAAGGATGAAAACGGGCCCAAGACTATGGCTTCTGTCCTAGGAGGTCCAGAAGCAGGACCATCCCTCCAGCCAACTCTGCCCACGTAGATCCCACTGCCCACAAGAAAAGATTAATTCCCTATTTTATTCATTGGTTTTTGAGACAGGGTCTGACTATGTAGTTGAGACTGACCTGGAACTCACTATGTAGCCCAGGCTGGTCTTGAACTCACAGGGATCCTCCTGCCTCAGCCTCCCAGTGCTGGGATTACAGGCGTGCACCACCACGCCTAGCATAATTCCCTATTCTTAGAATCCTGGAAAAAAGGAAATCCATACTCCTAAGGAAGTTGCTCCTAAGCCATCCATCCCCCTTGCCAGATTCTGAGGAAAGTTACCAGCTACCATCTCTAATGAACTCTCCCCAAAGCCTCAGGCACTGTTCCTTTCCAAGTTACAGAGGGGAACATGCACCAGCAACAGACCTGTCCCCACCCGGCACCAGCTGCCACAACCTGAAAATCCTCTTGCTGTTGAGAGCTGCCTGAGCTCAGCCTGGACTCCAGCCCTGGCTCCAAGGCCAGGACCCACCTGCCTACTGGTGAGAACTCTAGAGAGCCATAGGGGCTCAGCCCAGCTGGCTGAGGCACAGCTGTTCCTCCCATCTGTCCCAAGGCGTCCCTGGTCCCCATAGGCAGCGGGAGCTTCAAGCAAACTCAGGAGCTGTCCTACACTCCGCCTCCAGTTCCTAAGGGACCTTGGAGAGCGGAGGAAAGGCCTCCAGGTGCAGGACTGGGCTCTGTCTGGGTGGGGCACTAGGGAGGCCGAGGTTGCCCAGGGAAAGTAGAGATTACTCATACAAGGTAACAGCATAATTGCCCGTCGATTTCCTTCCAAGGATCAGTTAATAAAATTAAAAGGGAAAGGTAGTCACCTCCCAAGGAGATATTTATTGCCTGAGAGCCCTTCGTGGGGCTGCCTGGTTTCCTTTGGTCATTAAATGGATCCATAGGGCTGGGGCTGGGGCTGAAGCGGATGGTGCAGACAGAGCACGCGAACGCTCGCACTCAAACGTCTGCGGAATGCTGCTCCTTTAAGAGCAGAGCCCTTGATCTTATGAATGAACTTGAGCAGCCCTCACGGAGGAGTTGAAGCGAGCGTGGGAGGGTGAGGGTGAACGCAGGGGGTCAGGGATGGGGAAGAGGGGGTTCCCAGATCTCTGGGGTCTCTCTAGCTTCTAGGACGACAAATCCGGGCTGGCTGCTCACCCCAGAAGAGCCGTAACTAGAGCGGGGTGCCAAGTTAGGCCCACCGCCGGGAGGTAGTGCGGGGAGAGAAAAAGGGTGTGTGTGTGTGTGTGTACCCCCAGACCTTCCCATCGCTCCCTGGTCCCCGGGCACCTCCGCTCGCTCTCCGGGTCCCTGGCCATCCCAAGTGCCCCACGGCCAGGCCGCCCGTCCAACAGCCACATACCCCCATCTTGGCCTGCCCGCCGCCCCTTCCCTCCTCTCGGGGTGCTGGGCCCTCACCTTCACCTGGGCCGGGTGTTCGCCGGCTTGGAGGATACTGGGGGACAGCAACCCCGCCGCGGAGCCGCTCTCGGAACCCTCTCCTTTGGCCATAACCCGCGGGCCACGCCGATGGGGGCCGGACGCCGGGATGCTCCTCTGTTCTGAGGGCTCCTACTCTTCCTGGGCTCCGGTCGTAGCCACCGCCACAGTCGCCGCGCACGAGCAAAATCCGGAGGCCGGCAAGGCACTCACTCCCTTGCACGCCCCCTCCGAGTCTCTTAAGCTTCCACACGCCCTCCAGGGCTGGACCAATCCCTGAGCCTTGCTGTTCCGCCTCGGGCCAATCCCCGCGCCCGCCGGCCCTCCCGCGGGTCCCACCCTCCCGGCGGCGCCCAGCCACTGAGCCACGTTCTCAAAAGCCCTGGAACCGGCTTCTGCCTAATCTCGCTCCACGCTTCCTAGGGAAGGCTGCGAGATCTACCTGATACACCCGAGGAAACTGAGGCCGGAGGCTGAAAGTGACCCTCCCGAGGTCCCTGAGTGAGTTATCCGTGAGTCGAACTGCAGTTTAGGACTTCTGACCCCCAGACCTAGAAAAGGTGGGGGCTTGGAGACCCACCGACCCCTTCAAAATCTGGAGTCGGGTCACCCTGTCTCCTTAACCCGGAGATGTAGGGTGGCACTTTGCGTACCGATGTCCCCTTCTTTTACCCGGAGATCAGCCTTTCCCTCTTCCTGTTACCGGCATCTATGGAGCTCTTCGCGATGGAACAGAAAAATGAGAAACGCAGTGGCTGACCCAGAGGAGCCAAGACCACAGGTCCTGCTGTAGGGTAACAGCGGCCTTTTATGGAAAGCACCCTCCGTGCCTAACCCTGACCTCACTCGGTGGCGGTGGAGGCGCTCACAATCACGATTGGAGGACTGTACTACTGTTACCAACCCCATTTTACAGTCCGGAAAACGCGACTGGGTGAAGTGAAGCAGCTGTTACGTGGCTCACAGCTAGGTTTAGAAAAGTTTTGCCCTATTCCAAAGTCTTTTGTCTTTGTTTGTTTGTTTTCCTATTTTTAAGTTTCGCTCTTAGCAGCCCTGCTGTGTCCCACTTGGCATAAATTACAGAAGGCTGAGTGGGGTCCCTGTGCCTCCCAACACGTCCTGGGAGACACAAGGCAACAGAGGCTCCCTGGGTTGAAACAGTCAAGGCAAGGTCTGAGAAAAAGTACGGAGGAAATCAGGTCCCTGAAAGAAAACAGGAAGCTGGGCGTGGTGGCCCACGCCTATAATCCCAACACTTGGGAGGCTGAGGCCGGAGGATCGCTGTGAGTTTGAGACCAGCCTGGGCTACACAGTGAGTTCCATGTCAGTCTCAACTACATAAACAAACAAACAAACAAACAAACAAAAAACAATGAAAAAAGAAAACGGGAGGACGGTAATCTAGAATAGAGGCCAGGAGAAGACGCCAGGAAAGAAGTCTTTTCTTCCACCTCTGCCAACCTTACACCAGTCTTGGGAGAGATTCAAGAGAAGATGGGGTGGAGGCCAATTCTGTCCAACGTGAGACAAGGAGCTGCTGGGACTCTCAGAGGCCACTGTGGTTCTCAGTGTCAGGCTTCTCTTTTTCTCTCTTTAAATTGCTGACTTGCCAGGCATGGTGATGCATACCAGTGATCCCAGCACTCCAGAGGCTGAGGCAGGAGATGGCCACAAGTTGGAGGCAACCCTGGGCTACATAGTGGGTTCAAGGCCCAAGTGAACTGCATAGCAAGACCCTGTCTTAAAAAAGAAAAAAAAATCCCAAATAAAAAAATAAAAATAGATGATTCAGGGAGGAGAGTTGAGATCTGGCTCTTTCATACGCCCTAGTAGATCTCATCTCAGCATTGGGCTCTTGGCCACTGATGAGGAGAAATGGGCCAAAGTACAAAGTAAAGCAGCTGAATACTATGAGAAGGGCACGGATGGCCTCTATGTCTCTACAATAGTTGTGTGATGCTGTTTTCTGTTGCTTCCCTTTTGCAGCCTTGAGTTGACTAAGGAAGACTTTATGGACCCTCACAGCCCTAAAATCTCCTTCTTTGTAGAATCACGCAGTTTCATGAGTGACCTGGATCCCCCTCACCATGATGAGCTCCTTGAGTGTAGGAACTACATCTTCTCCCTAACTAGCTTGGGGCCAGACTCATTGTAAGCACTTAATAAACGCATGTGCGGCAAATGAATATTCAGCCCTCCTCAAGGACAACACAAGAGGACCCCACTCAGAAAAGCCCCAATGATTGATCACAGACAACTCAGTTATCCTCTCCAAGTGTAAGGTGGGGACATTGACAGGATCTACCTTAAAGAGTTGGTTGAGGATGAAATGAGACTATGGACAGGAAACATTTAGCACAAGTGCCTGGGAGCAGAGGCTGAGCTGGTCCCACTCCTGGCCTGATTCCAATCTGTCAGTGTAGCAATGTAAGATTCCAGATATGGCCTGACCAAGCCAGCACAATAGGCCCATTATTTCCCCCAGTCTGGATAGGACACATTGTTAATGCAGCCTAAGACTGCTGGACTTCAGAGACTTTCTCTCTCATGATTAGTTCCCTTCAGGTTGTACTCCACTAAATCATGCAGAGCCTTTTCACCCGAGCTAGGGTCAAGTCAGGTCTCACCCCCATCCTCTAGTTTGTGTAATTTCTTCATCCTCACATCAGAACAATGTCATTTTGCTTATTCCAGCCGGTTGAAATTGTTTAGAATGCTGGCTGTATTGCCCAGTGTTTTCTAATTTAAATCCAGTCTTGCCCCTTGCAACTTCAGCTTCACTATCCACATTGCTTATTAAAACAGAGCCTGTAACAGACTACTAGAGACATTCACTCACCATTAAGTGAGTCAGGACACTGCCGATAGAACAGGTTCCAATTGTCACGCGCCCACTGTATGCTAGACCAGCACCATCTGTGCCAACTGCTTTTGCTCTCTGTATACCACCTCATTTACTCCTTATAATACCACTGGGGAGCTGGGCATGGTGAATGGTCAGTCCTCACCTCTAAGCCCAGCAGACTGGTAGGCTGAGGCAGCATAATCACAAACTCAAGCCCAGCCTGGGACAATTCAGAGACTTAGCAAGACCCTTTCTTAAAAAAAAAAAAAAAAAAAAAATTAAAAATTAAAAACAGGACTGGGGATATAGGTAAGTGTGAAAGCCTTGTGCTAAATCCCTAGTCTTACCAAAAAGTGGGAGGGGGGATTATTACTCTCATAGCCTGAAACTAAAATAGGAGAAGCAGGGATTACTTTTTTTTTTTTTTTTTTTTTTTAATACATGTCTTGCTATGTAGCACTATGTGAGTTCAGGCAGGCCTTGAACTCACGATATAGCCCAGCTGTCCTCAAACTCAAGGCAATCCTCTTGCCTCTGCCTCCTAAATGCTGGGATTATAGACACCACACCCAACTTTTTTTCTTTCTCTTTCTTTTTCTTTTTTTGTTGTTGTTGTTGTTGCTATTTGTTTGTTTGTTTTTGGAGACAGTGTCTCACTATGTCGTTGAGACTGACCTGGAACTCACTGTGTAGCCCAGGCTGGTCTCAAACTCACAGCAATCCTCCTGCCTCAGCCTCCCGAGTGCCGGGATTACAGGCATGTGTCACCATGCCTGGCCTCTTTCTTTTTATTTTGAGACAAGTTCTCACCAAGTCACCAAGTCACCAAGTTGCCTGGACTGGGCTTGAACTTTCAATCTTCCTGGTTCAGTCTCCCAGAGTGCTGGGATTACAGGTGTCCACGGCCACACTCAGCCGATTTTTATAAACCTAGGGCCAGGCTGTGGTGGGGACATGCTCATAATTCCAGCACTTTGGGAGACTAAAGCAGAAGGATCACAGACATGAGCCCAGCCTGGGAAATTTAGTGACTTAATCGAAATTTTGTCTCAAAATAAAAACATGAAGTTGGGCAGGATGGCACACGCCTATAATCCTAGCACTCAGGTGGCTGAGGCAGGAGTACTTGAGTTCAAAGGTAGCCTGGACTACACAGTGAGTTCAAGACCAGTTTAAACTACATAGTGAGATCCTGTCTCAAAATAAATAAATGTACAAACAAGACAAAAGGCTGTGCTAGGGATGTAGATCAGTGTAAAGACCCTGGATTCAATCCCAGTACTGGGAAGAAAAGAAAGGCAGGCTCTTTTTTGTTTTTTGGGAGGTAGTAGTGGGGATTAAATTTAGAGCCTTCACATTAATACATATCGTCAGCCCTTTTTTTATTTGGAGACAGGGTCTTTGCCCAGGTAGGACTCAAACTTTCTATCCTCCTGCCTCAGCCTCCCAGAATGCTGGGATTACAGGTTTGTCCTGGGTGGGATCACGCTTGTGATCTTCCTGCCTCAGCCTCCCAAGTGCTGGAATTATAGGCATCCACCACCACAGCCAGCCAAGGCTCTTTTTTCTAAGATGTCCTTGGTTGTTGTCCTCTAGGTGTCTACAGTCCTGTCCATGTGACTCCACTGGTCTCTGTGGACATGCTCTTTCCCACCTCCTTACCCCCATACCACCAGCGCCAGCTCTGCTAGCCTCAGAAATCTGGGCCCATTCTTCACAAAATTCTTTCCATCAGGACAGCAGTGAGAACAAGAGCTTCTCCCTGGGGGGCTGGCAGCTCCCCACTCTGTGGTTGGACTGCCCTCCCCAGCCTTCCTTATTCTTTCTGGGTCTGGCCCAGCCTCACAGCTGAGGACAAATGAGCTGAAGAGGTTGGTGGTCCCTTCCACCTGTCTGGCCCCATAAGGCACCAACTCCAGCCCAGTGGGCTCCTTTATCCGCCCTCACATCCTCCACTCCAGGGGCTGGGGAAGGGCCTTGAGCTTTCTGGAAGGCAGAGGAGTTAAGTTCGAGATCCCTAAAATGGATTACACATCTCTACCATTTTATACTTTACTCTTGGGTAAATACTGAATCTTTTTTTGAAGCCTGTTCCCCCACCTGACAAATGGGAATAGCAATTGAGCCTATCTCACAGAGGTGGCCTGAGGATTCAGTGAAGTACTCAGGACAGGATACTTGGCACACAATGAACATTTTAAAAGGTTGTTGGGGGCTGGGGATTTAGCTCAGTGGTGCCGCCACCTGCCTCACAAGCTCAAGGTCCTGAGTTTGATCCCCAAGACCAAAAAAAAAAAAAAAAAAAAAAAAAAAAAAAAAAAGAAAGAAAGAAAGAAAGAAAGAAAGGAAGTAGTTTACCCTGGAGTGGTGGTGCACACCTATAATCCCAGCACTCGTGAAGCAGGGGCAGGAAGATCATCTCAAATTCAAGGCGAGCCTGGACATAGGAGACCCTGAAGACCCTGGCTCAAAAGAGAAAAAAAAAAAGTTTGTTCATGATTCCATTATTCGTGCCCTGGGCAAAACCTAGTGGTCCCCTTGGAGCCAGAAGGGAGATTGACTTGTAAGTAGTTAGGAGCCAGATTGATGTTTGGTGACTCAACAGTGGTATTTCTAGCACAATAAACTGCTGCCACAGGGCAGTTACCAGGTGTCATTGTTGGGGAGATGGTGCTAGGATATCGTTGCTCAGTGACTGTTTCAGGATCCTATTGTTGCCAAGTGAGGTTGCTGGCAAATCGGTCATCCAGATCTCTTCTACCCTACCACCTACCAGCCTGACTTCTGGAGAAAAAGGGCCAAGCCCGTGCCTTGAACCATGCTTGGCTGAACAGCCACTGACATCCTGGGTGACCAGGGTGACAATGCACTACCAAGTGGGCAGGCCCTGGACAAAGGGTTTCCTGGAAGAGCTGATGCGATGCCACAGCCTGTTCCCAATCTTGTTCCTTTGTTTGCCCTGAGGGGAGGAGAAGAGCAGAAAATACTTGAGGTTCCCAAGAGAGGCTCTTTAGGGAGGAAGTACCTGAAGGTGCTTGAAGTAATTTGAGGCTGCAGTTCC